TGTTTGGAGGAATGATGTCCCATCACAGCAATGATGACCCTACAGGGCTTAATGGGCCTGCAGTTGCTTGTTGTATAAAGCCATTTATGCTTTAATGCTGTTCTCTTCCGATTTCAGGAGTAGCCTATTTCTGTCATTAGGGGCAAGAGTGGACAGGTGACCTAGACAGTCTTCACCAAAGCCAGGCATTTTCACCATTTTTAACTTTCACTCCCACACAACATGAAAGCATAAGTACCAAGTTAATAAAAACTTAGGTATTTTGCTGTGATATTTCTGCTATGGCAGGAACAAAGACTTTTCAGAGAACCTAATATTAGTTCCTTCCTATGAAGTGGCCTTTGGTTTTGCCACTTCAACTCAGTGAAATACTAGAGTGATTTACTCTGCTTTCTGTGCCTTCATCATGGAAATGCAAATTACTGCACAGCAGGCCAGACATTAGAGAAAGTAGTTGCTCTGGTACAAGGTTTCCAACCTGAGTTCTAGCCTGAGGAGTTGGATAAGCAGCCAAATCTCTGCATCCTTTGAAGTTCATTCTGAGTGTAGAGAATTCTGAATTCAGAAAAGGTCATGTCCTGGATGAGTTTCTCCTAACTGAGGGACAGCCATGAGTTCTGAAAAGTATTTCATTAGTTACCTCAAAGTAGGGTCAACATTAGAGAGCTTGATTTTCACAAGAAAACTTACCACACCTTCCCTCCCTGCACCATTTTGCTCTGTGAGTAGGAAGAACAGCATAACATGTTGGCATCCTGCAGGGCTTTGCTGCCCTTCAACATTTCTGCAGCTCTGGAATTCCTTCTCAAGCCAGGGTTTTGAGCCATATGGAAGCTACTGATACTAGTGGAGAAAGAGAGGGCTTTCTGGTGTGCTGCTGGTGAGCTTCAAAGCTTCCAAGGAGAAATGTCATCTGCTGTCTCCCAGCCTTTTGCCTGTAGGGGTACTTTGAGAAACTGCAACAATGGTTGTTGCACAGTGCTTGCACAGGTTTGGTAGATAAAACACAGCCTGGTAAAATGAAACAGCTGTGAGCCTCATTTTTCAAGGAGCAGATGGGTCACAAGTGACCCAATAGTTACTGAGCTAATGAATGTAAGAGAAAAGGAAACTTTCCTTCTTCATGAGACAAACTATCAGGCTCCTTTGACCTGCCCTCCTTGCCTTCTTACTGAATTAACACCCTGTGTGCCTGACTCAAAAGGCAAGACAGCAGAGCACTTGTTGCCAGTGCAAGTTTGCTGACAAGATGGGCTTAAACCAGAGAGATGTGATTTCCTCTGGGGGAGAATGACAGTGAAGTAGAGATGGAGGAGAGGGATGCAAAGTATTGCATGATTCCTCTACGGGCCCCGTGTTGCACTTTGTCATTAGGTGAATCACTGGAGCATCCTGTCAAATCAACCTCCTGCACAGATTTTTAGAACCTCTAATTGGCACCTGCATGGCACCTGCACAGCTACACATTACCAATGCATCTCCTTTTGCCCTGCACAGCCTTTCACAGCTCTTTCTCCCAGACTCAAGGCAGTCAGTAGCCCACCACGGAATGAGACAACCCTGGCTTTAGTTGGGATCCTGTGATGTGACCCAGTGTTCACGTAACAGAAAAGCTTTGCTTTATTCCTTTCTCTTTTAACCATTAGGCAAATGTTTCTCCATGTTTCCTGTTTATCACAGGCTCTGAGCCTCCCTAGACAGGCTATTCTGAGCTTGCCCTGCTTTCTGATAATTGCATGTGCATTAAAGCAAACACCCCTGCAGGGTTTCTCCTCTCCCCTGTCCTTGCCAGCTCGGAGCTGGACAGCATTCCATGGCTTGCAAACACAGGGCTGCGCAAAAAAAGCCATGCCAGGGGCTGGCAAAGCTCTGGGGGAGAGGGCAAAGCTGCATGCTATTTCAGGCCTCTCTTATTTTGCCAATGAGTTCAGATACCTCTCCTTTCCTAGTGACATGATGGCTCCTAGGTCCTCCTGAGCCGTGCATCAGTGACATTGCTATCAAGATCTACAGTCTGTGTCCAGCCCGTATCCATTACTGCCTTCTTTGTAGGCATATAAAAAATTAACAGGATCCAGGGGAGTCAACCATCAGTACTGACTGCAGCAGTAATTCTGAGAAGGTGGTCTGTTGTATATTTCTCTGAACTCTTGTTTTGCTTTAAAAGAAGAAAGTGGCAGGACACTGCTGTGAGGTTTTTTGAGGATGAGCTTTATCAGACTGCTGTTTGGAGAACCTGGAATCTCTAGATCCTAAAGTAATACAACCATTAGCGTCTTGTGCCTCTACATGGGGCAAAGTCCTGGACTACAAGAAGTACAGTGATGACATTTTTCCTACATAAAACGTCTCACTTGAGATAAGTGGATCAGTTTTGTCCTTGGTTTACAGATAGAAGAGGTAGCAGACTGTGGAAGGCTGACTGGTGCAGACAGCACACCACTGAACTGAACACACTGTAGTCAAATGCTGCCAGGCACATCAAGACAGATGCTCTCGACATACCTGGCTTGAAATTGAGACCTCCAAAACTGTATTTCCTCTTAGCATTTAGTTCCCAGGAATTAATATGCATAAAGCCTTTTACACTCACACACCTATGATGGAAAAAAAAGCAACTTGGGTTAATTCTTTTCAGTTGGTTCCTAGAGTAAATCTGTAGGTCATAAATAGATACTGCCTTTCTATTCTGGCTGTCTTTTACCAAACATTGCTGTAGCTGAATTCCCTCCTCCAAGTGGTAGCCATAAGTCACTGCCTCTTCTCATGCTTTAGGACAGTAACCAAGCAGGACCCTGACTGGATGCTGCCATCCATCACTCACTTGATCTGAACTTACATTGCCACTGAACCAACCAAGAGGTTTCTCTGAAGTGAAACACCAATGCAGTTACACAGCCCATCTGCAGGGAGTTTTATTTTTCACAGGAACACTGGGGTTGGATTATCCTTGTCACAGCTAGTGCACTGGTCACATTCCCCATGAAATACCTGTACTTCCCTATCCAAAAGGAACTTTGTTGGAGTTGCAGTTTCTGAGCAGCTGCAGTACATGCTGCTGATGGTGAATCTCAGTACTATTGGGAGAGTGTCATGAGAGTGGGTGCTTCTTCTGTCTTGTTTTTCCTCATTTTTGAAGCACATCCAACTTTTATCAGTTATAGTGTTGAACAAGCCCTCTGCAAGTATCAGTGCATATCTTGTAAGAGAAAAGAGTAACAGGTCTTTTTGAAGAGGAGGCAAAAATGGAATAAGCTAGTTACCCCCTGGGTCTGGGGTGAAATAGCTGAACAGTTGAAATCTACCCAGCTTTTCCTTCCTGTTTGTATAATTAGCTTTTATCAGAGTGCTGGTCATGAGTAAGTTAACACCCACAGACCTGTCACCATCAAGCACTGGTTATCACTGAATTCCTAGCAGTGCTGAACTGTGTACATACATGTTTAACTGCATTCCCCACTTCTCTGAAGGAGCTATTTTCAGAGATCCCAAGTGTGGAAGTGGAATCTCTCAGATGACTTTTGACTCTGCAGAGAGGAATAAGTGTCTTTGAAAGACTGAGATTGGCACATGTACAAATATACTTTCTTCCATCCTGGCATGTGAAGAAGGCTAAGGATGATGCAGTGCAAAAGTTGCCTTTGCTGTTTTTATGTGATGCTGCAGAGGAAGAGATCTGGGGTGATAACCAACATGCTGGGGAATCCTCCCCTACAGGGTGCTGCAAACTACCAATTTCTACTTTCCTGCAGAGGATCTTACTGGCATTCAGGTGAAGTTGTCTGTGTTCAGCAGAGGATGTTCTCTCAGGAAGTTAAAGGACATCAAGAACTAAAGGTGTACTAGGGCAAGTTCCTAATTACTCATCTGATCTCTGCAGGGGAGACATTATGGGATGGTTTTATAGTTTGTTCATGGTTTATCTGTCAGTATAGCAGCTCTGGGACAATCAGTTATTTAAAGGACTGGAAAAAATGCTACCTGGTTGTCCTTCTTTGCTTCTTTAGGTCTTTTTCCTGCCTTTGTGGATTCCTTGAAACTTGGCATGCCCAACTGTGCAATGCTTTCACTGCATCATGTTGCAGAGTTTATTTCACATACCCAGAATCTCCCCAATGCTACATTAACTCCCTTCAACTTAGCCTAGGTCAAATCAGAGCAGTTACAGTGTGGTTTCGAGCAGCAGAGCGATTTTGCTAACAGGTGAGGAATTGCCCTGACTCCATCTCTAATGAATACCCTTAGTGGTCATGATAGGAATTTTGGGTGACAACAGGCTTGCACTAATTACAGGGACTTAGTCACAACTTGTTAACTCAGCACTGAAAGCTGCTCTTGGAAGTAGCCACACTTGGGCAGCCTGGGAATTGAGGGAAAGCGCAGTCTTGCGCTTAAGGCTCCGAGCACTGTGCCTCCAGTAATCTGGTTTAATTTCTTGTTCTGCCTTGGACTTCTTATGTCACTTCTTATATTTCTTTCCCTCTCTGCACCTCAGTTCTGGAGCTATAAAATCACACTGCTGTATATCTTCTCCCCCACATGCATGGCAAGTTCTTCAGGATGGGGAGTTTCTAGCATTAATTGAGAATGCAGTTTGTAGAGCAGCCTCACCTGTGGCTGTGGGAGGTCAGAGAGCCCTACATGACATCTTAGAGTTTCTGTACTTTGAGAATATGTCACTGGCTTTGGATTGTGAGGAAGGAGCAGCCTTGAATGCTCATGTAACTCCCACAGCTAATTTTCTTTGGTAGATTTGGGACTTTTCTTTCAACCTTGAAATTTTGCTGGTTTTCTGCAGGGCAGGGAGTGCTGAGGCTGAATAAATTGAATTTTTCTTAAATTATGTAAGTGCTAAATAAGATACATTGTTACAATATTCCACATCCTCTGCATATGAGGAGGAGTGGAAAATGGATAAATGGGAAGAAAATGTGTGACAATACCTAATGTATTCTAAGACCAAGCTTCTAATCTTCTCTATTTCTTTTTGTTTCTTCCAGGTGGAGCGGGAAATAGCCATCCTGAAGTTGATAGAACATCCCCATGTTTTAAAGCTGCATGATGTTTACGAAAATAAAAAATATTTGTAGGTATTACTGGCTTTTGCCAGAGGAAGGGGAAGGGAAGAAGGGAGGGGTTTTGGAACTTGGTACGTTTCTGAAAGAATGGAACTAGGTGTGTTTTCACCCTCTGCTGGTGTCTGTGCAATATTTGGTATTTGGATGAGGAATGAACACTCATTATTTCCCTGGCTTTTCCAATGTTAATTTCTGTGCTTTCACAGAATCATAGAATCATTTAGGAAATTTTATCATTGTCTGACCATGCTGCCATATTCACCACTAAATCATGCCCCCCCAAGTGCCACATCCACGTGTTTTTTGAACACTTCCAGGAATGAAGATTCCACTACTTCCCTTGTACCTGTAAGATCTGGAACCGTTTTGAATCAAAGCTGTAACAGACTTAGAGTGGATAATTTGGATAACCTCCTTTGTCTAACAGTTTTCATTGAAACCCTCAACTCTCACTAAAGGTGTTTTAAATTTGTCCCATCAGCAACAGATTTTGGTTTTAAAGGCCACTGTAGGCCCCTGATGGTTCTGCAGTGGCAGTTGCATAGCAAAGCTTTTTTTTGTAAGACTTTTTTTTTTCCAGATCATTAGCAGTGCCAGACAGGGATGTTGTCCATAGACAATCACTTTAGCTTGATTTAGGGCACTAAATACATTGTATCTGTTATCAAACAAACAGGCCACATTAATCATGGCGCAACAGGACAAAAATCAATGTTCTCCAAATAGAAAAGGGTGACCCAGTACGGAACTCTGCTATTTCCGGCTTTTTAACAGGTTATTACAGGTAGAAGAGAGTGGTTAAAAAAGATTAAACAGTTTTTAAAAGCCACCATCCACTGGTGACCTCTTTTTAGTGTCTGAACACAAGAAGGGAATGATTGTTTATCCAAAGAAAGTGTGTTGAATGGAGGTAACAGTCCCTCATGGACTATTCATCCAGTCTTGATACTGGAGCAATGAATTCCTCTTCGGAGAAGCAGGGCCTCTCTGCCTAAGGGTTAGCTTAGTAGAGCAGGCAGTAATTTCCCTTGGCTTCCCCCTCCTCCTTTGGGGCAGAGCCTGCCATCCGAGGTGGAATGCAGTTGCCAGAAAGAGCTCGTGCAGGCACTGGGTGGAGGCTGGCTCAGATGTTTTCAGAGCTGCATGCTGAATGCTCGGTCCTCAGTGGCACAAATGGTCATGGCTCCATGAAGCCCTGTTTGCCACAGATGAGACAGAGGCCCACATCTGCTCCGTGTGCAGACAGGCAGCAAAGGGAAATCAGGCTTTACAGGGAGTACATTCTCCCTTAATTTCCTAAAAGAGAGGCAGAGGATATTTTCTCTGTATTAAGGTGAAAGCGGGGAGGAGACCCCTTTTTTGCTTAAAACAGAGGAAATGTTCTTGGTATGTTGGTTTCTGTATTGTGTAACCCTAGGTACACACACACAAGTACACACTCCTGCATGAAAAGAGCAAACAGCTGATGGTGGCAGTGGTGATAATGTAAGAATACATGCAGAAGAAAGGCCTCAAGGGGATGGGCTGTAGAGGTGCTGAAGCTTTCTTCTTGCTCTGAATGCCTGTAAAGCCAAAACCTGAGCTTTCCTTCTTTACCCCATAAGAATTGGGGGCTGTTTTGCTCCTTGTGAAAAATATTTTGCGCTCAAAGCAGTGGGAATGGTGTTACTCTATTATTAAAAAAAAACCAAAAAAAACTGCATTTATTGGCAGGACAACATCTTCATGATGAAAATCACCTTGAAAAGGAAAGCATCCCATATCTTTATGCTATGTCTGGATATCCTGGCTTCTAAAAAATGTTGGGCTCCAAAGCCTGCTTTGCCAATGACCATTTAGCCTTGAACAATCACTAAGTCTGCTTTGTGCTGTAGCTCCTCTGCCTGTAAGATTAAGCTGTCTGCATCCCCCTGCAAAGGCACCAAATCCCTCTGCTGAAAGACACTGACTCTGAAAGAACAAATGACTGTTAATTAAGTTTCATTTTTTATTAGTCGCTATTTTAAAGAAAGGGCACAATGCAGAGCTTCTGCCAAGCCTCCGTGTTCAAAATTAGAAACAGCTGTGGCCTTTGATAAATCTGAGAGGTGGAAGAGAGTGCCTGCGGAGGGGTGAGGTGTTACAAGTGTGTGGGGGCTGAGAATGTGTCTGCATGGACCTTCCCAAATAATAAGACACAGTGACCTCTGGTTCTCACCAGCATCAGGAAAGGGATTGCTCTGGGGTTGTGGCAGCACCTTTCCATCATGCATGCCATCCCAGCACTAGCAGCAGTGGCATGGTTTCAGAGAAGCTCATGAATTATGGGTGATATTTCAGAAGCCAGAGACTAATCACAATGCAGCACTGGGGAGCATTTCCTCGATAACTGTTAATTTCACAAATCATGTTTGACTTTTAGTTTGTGATTTAATTTGTGACAAGGGGCTTTGGTTGAGTAGATTCCTAATGCAACCATGAATCAAATCCTTTTTCCACAGTTTATTTAAGACTGAGAATGATTTTTTAAAAATAATAACAAAAATCTGTTAGCATACGTGTGTTAGCCAAGTAGTCTTTTTCTGTTTATTTTGGTATGGTTCTTTTTGCCAAGATAGTTGGAGAGGTGGGGATAGCTATGAAATCTATTATTCCATCTCTTTATCCATCATTTTGAGTTGTCTTATTTAGTAAGACTGTGGACTACACATCTAGGTGTGGGGGGGAAAACAGAGGGCACTGTGGCTCTCTGTAAGTGACATACAGCCTCAGATATATATTGTGTTGGCTAAATGAGCAATATTACTGACAGTTGAATTATTTCATATTTGTTGTATGATCACACTGATGGCCTTCAAGCAAGATTGGGAGTCCACAGTAATAGATAATTTAGAAATAGCTACAGACAATCAATGTCTCCATCTCTCCTATCATAATGTCAATAGACCAAAACAGCCAGGATGGGAGTTCATCCTCCCTTTTTTAAAGATCAAAATTAATCATAGTAGCCTGTTATGGGGAATGATCAGTGGGCTACCAAAACTTGTGTGTGCACCAGTCAGTTTGACTAAGGAAATGCAGACAGTCAGGAATTTTAGGGAAATACAAATCATAGAATCATCGCAGAATGGATTGGGTTGGAAGGGACCTTAAACATCATCCAGTTCCCCCCTTTCCCTTTAATTAGACCAAGTTGCTCAGAGCCTCAGCCAAGCTGATGTTGAACACTTCCAGGATGGGGCATGTACTAAGAGAAGGAGCAAGGCAGTAACAGATAATAACAAAATGTTGGTGTATTCTGTAATATACACTGGAGGGACACACTCCTTGGGTGATTTCTGCATTGCAGATGAGCTGTGTGAACCTGGGGGGGATGATCCTCTTTTCTCTGTGCCCTGTATAGAAAAGGTCTTTCCTGAGCTGACCCAACACAGAGTTTTATTTACTGTGTTTTATGCACTACATTCAGCTTTTCTTTGGATCATGGAAAAGCAGTTGTCCCCTGTTGGAGGAGCTGTCAGCATGGCAAGCTAAGGGCCATCAGACAGTCCACAGGAGATGGAACTTCCCTCCCCAGAGGGGACTGAGCTGACTGATACAGTTCTGTTGCAGAAGTCCCAACAGGGGTGGCATTATCTGTTTTGATCTAATTTGATTAACTGTTTAGTTTCAGCTGTCAGCGGCTTGGTGGGTAGTGGAAATAAAATAGAAAAGAAAATACATACTACAGCCGCTCCATGCACTTTTCTTTCAGATGGTAATACTGGTATTTCTTGATTCACTTTCCATTGATGTCTGTGTATATATGTCTGTAAATTTCTATGTCAAGATGCATACAGATATTTGTGTATATATGTGTGGATTTATGTTGAATGACTTTCAAATCTTCACATTTAAGATTTCAAATTTTATGGCAGCATTTATTTTACATCTCTGTCATCCAGTTTGATCAGCATTTTAAGCAAGAATCTGTTTTGAAAGGAGTGGACACCAGACAATTGTTCTCTGAAGTGTGCCATGCATTCCTCAGCACCTTTTTCAAATATAAGTGACTTTCTCATCTTTCATCAGTACAATGCTATCACTGGGCAAGTGCCCAAATCTCATTTCAATGTACACAACACACCACCTCCTGATTTCAGAGATGAAGGTGCATCACAATGAGCCAGATAAGAAAATTAAAATGTCCTCCTAGCTGTGCACAGCTCACGTTTCTGGCTCATACAAAATCAGGTGGCAGCAGCTGTCAAGGACTTACAGCTCTGGTGGTGTCTGCAGAGGCCTTTGTGCTGCCTGTCCTCTCCTGCAGGGTTTTCCTGTAGTTCTGTTTATTTTTGTTGAAAACTTATTGTGAGATGCCAGAAGATGCAAAAAGATTAAAAAAAAGTTATGTGTGTTCTTGTTAGTGGTAGGCCAAGACTTTGCCATTCAATCCATCTGCAGGGAAACCTCTCTAAAGTAGAGGGAGAGTTCAGAAAGTCAGAGTGGCTCTAAAGGCTCAGCACTGAAAATTAATTTTATGGTAGATGTGCACCTTGGGAGTGAAGCTGTGGGATGTCAAGTGCTATGATACAGGGAAAGAAAATAAAACAGGATTGGAAGGCAGAATAGCATTCTACCTGAGCCTTGATTAGACTAAGGAAAATATTTGTAACCAGCTACTTTGACTCCCTTTTCTTCTGCTGTTGACTTGTTTTAGGACTGTCTGGAATGACTAACATGTGTAGCCAGAACAAATCCAGTCAGTGGTAGGAGTGGAGGGTGTGACCGCTCACTCGCAAGAGGAACACCAAGCCTGGCACAAAGCAGGGCCTACAGAGCATTAATGCTGCACCCTGTGCAACAAAGTCTTAATAAGCACTGCCCAAAAGCCTGACTGTATCCTCTGCTCACTGCCTCACAATGACGTGTGCTTGGATACCATCCAGGCCATGATGCTGGGCATGGGGAAAAGCCCATAGTGGAGCAATTCTCTGACATGAGTAATTCTGTGGGATGTTGCTTCAGAGCCATGGTACATTCTCATGCC